ACGCTAGATGTATGAATTTTATTATGTTCATTATGTAACTTGAGTTATTGTTGTTTGGTTAGAATTGGGCATGGATACTTAATCCATCAAAACTGATGGTAGAGCAAATAAGGTGAATATGATCTAGGCAAGTGAGATGGATAACACATTGGTTGAAACTCTAATGGAGCAAATCACCCTTGGACACAAGGTTGGCAAGAGCTTTAAGGCTCCGACATACACTACAACTACAAGAGCCATAAGTCTGAAATATGAAACGGAGTGTAGATAGAACCACATTAGGAATCGAATGAAGATAATAAAGTAAAACTTCTCTAGGATAACACATCATCAACTCTAGTGGTTTTTCCTAGAATGACATAACTAAAACTATCGATATAGAGCCCCATGTGTGGAATGAATACATTTAGGTAATCTTCAATATAATATTCACTCTAAATATTATAATACACGAATAAGATATGAATTTGTAGCAATTGATCCATTACAATTAAACAAGGGCACCTAGAATCAAAGTAGTTTAGTAGAAAATCCATCCACAACTATGACCAATTAGCTATAGTATGTGGAAATGATCAAGTAACTGGCATTGGGGCATTCACTGCAAGGGAACCAAATAGGTGTGAGGCAACATCAGTGAATGAAGTTACTTTGGTAATAACGCAGGAGATTATATTTGATGAGGTTGATGGAAACAATGTTGGTAACTCAACTCTTCAGGCTAGGCCATCTGAGGAGGGTAACTCAATTAAGTGGAGGGGTCTAGGGAAGAGAAAGTTGTGCGCAGTTGTAGTTGCTAAAAAAGTACATGAGATTGCATCTAGAATTAAGTTATTGGCTTCTATTATTGAGAAAGGAATCGAGTTGTTGAAGAAGGAAAAGATTAATGATGATGCGTTGAGCTTAGGGGATCAGAACCCCTCCTTCCTCATAAGGGCAATTGATTATCTAAGTCTAAAAATCGGGCAATAGAGTTTTATGCCTTGGCTCTGAAATTGGGGAAGGCATGGCTAGATTTGAAGCTAGGCCCACTTAATTGAAGTTACTTTGGTAACGCCCCTTTTTGGAAACATTGATGAATATATGGTTTACTAACACCCCACTTTCTTGTTATGTTTTGTGGGTTATTCCTTGGCTACATTTTCATGTTTTGGAAAATTTGAACATTACTTAGATTGACATATGACTCAAACATGTCTTAACTAGCTTTGTCTTGACTAGTCAATAGAAACAATCCTTTTTTGTTAAAATCTTAAACATTACCCGAGTGGGTAAATGAAGATACTGATGGTTCATGAATGATGGATGAATATTTAGTTTGAACATGTGTTAATCTATTTTTTAAGTAAAGGTTTTCACTCAATACATGGGATTCACAAGTTCCCATGGGAATGCCGATTTGGCATAATTGGGCTGATGAATTTACACGGGGTTTTCCAACTTAAGATGAATGGACTATTAATAGAAGTCTAGAGAGAGAGAGGATGACAAATTCAACAAGAGTGAGAAAGAGGTAGTGGAAAGTGATAGAGAGGCACTAGCAAATCCACTGCTGCAACTACGATGACACAGGGGAAGTGAAAGAGGAAGGGAGAGAAAAAGTGAGAGAGAGAGAGATAGTGGGAAAGAGAAAACAAGAGATAGGGACACTAGAGGGAAAGAGAGGTCCACCATTGCAAGCTGCATGATAGAACAAGGAAGTGAGAGAGAGAGAGAGAGAGAGAGAGAGAGGGAGAGAGGGAGAGAGATTGTTTATTGCTTAGCTTCTCAGCGAAGCAGTAATAAGCAATTGAGATTGTTGATTGACTTGAATATGGGTTCATTTCATTTGAGTTTGGCATCTCAGGATCACTTGGTGCTATGATTTCCATCTGCCTATCTGCAAGTAAATTCATGCACTACACATGTAAAGCTCAAAATGTTGAAGGCCTAGTTGCAAATTTCAGACATATAGTGCCTAAGGTTTTCTTTTGGGTGTAAGTTGCTTCAATCCATTATCATTCATCTTCTTGTTTGTTCTATGTTTTTCTCTTTCTCTTTCCCATTCTTGGCAATTAGATCTAACGTGGACATGACTAAAACTCTCTAGTCTCTACCTCTATTTCTCTCTTGGTTCTTTATTCTAGAAGAGAACAGCTTGGGAGCAAACAGCCATGTATATAGGAGGAGCTTCCAATCCATGTTGGATGGCTTAGACAAAGAAGACTATTTAGAAGTGAAGAATAGAGCCAAATCCGCAAGAAGAAAAGGCAATTGAGCACGGATTAGGTGAAAGCCTTGGGGAAGAACTTTGATGTTGAGAATAAACTCGAATTAGAGAGGAAACAAAATAGAATGTGAACCCTAGATCTCAATACTGTAGGGTAAAAAGGTTGATGTAAAATGAAGCAAATCTATTTTTTGTTTTCAAGGTATTTTAGTAATTTGTATCTAAATGAAGTTGGCTAAGGGTAAATTTGGTATTTAAAAAAATAATACATTACATTAACATATTTTATTTGGAATGCTAACAAAAGTAAGTTATTTGCACATTTTTGTTTTTTTGAAAACAACAAAAGAGTTTTTTGTTAATGTCAAAACATAGGGGAATTCTATAGGATTGTTAAAAAACTCAAGCAGGATTTTATAATTTTCCCTATTTTTAAATGAAATTTAAATTAATTAAACTATATTTAAAAATTAATAATTTCTTACTAGTTTTTATTTTTATTTATCGTTATTAAATTTAATTAACTATATATATATATTAAGTTTTTTATTTTTCAATGGAACTTAAATTGATTTTGAATTAATAAAAATTAATTGTTAGAAAGTTTTGTATTAGTTCTGTATTGTGGAATAGCATAATATGAAGCACCATTGTCAATGATCGAATCTGTACCTATGCATGTAAAACAAACAAATTCTTCACAACCTAAAAAAAATCATAACCTCAGAATGTAAAATAACTAAATGATAACATCAGCGAACAACTCTTGATTTCCGACAACAGCAAACACCATCTATGTGGATAAAATAAACAAATAGAAAAGATGAAAATGCAAAAGAGAGAACCAAAAGATGTCGTTAGATTCTTCCTTTTTCTTATACAAATCCTTACATGTCTTATTCAACCTTTTTCAAATTCTTTTCCACCAAAACCTTGTTCCTTCTGCAAAAACCTTAAAAAGAAAAAAAGAGATGGAAAGCAAAACCCCAATTCATTGAAAGCCAAAAAGTGTATTACATAAAAACCCCTTTTCTTTTATTTTCTTCCTTCTGTTTTTCTTTACATTGTGGGTTCCACATCATGAAGAGAATCGCCCAACAAGCAAAGCAACTTAGTAAAAGTTCAATCGTCTTCTAGTTTTAATGAAGTTGCAAGGTTTGATTGGGTTGAATCTTATTCTGATTTTAGACAATAGGAAAATGGTTAGAATATCCTCCCTACATTGTACAAATTGCATTTGCTTCAATTTAAACAACCATACACTTACAAATTTGTATCATTCATGCCCAAAGCAGAATGATTGCATTTGGGTCTTGAAATCTGGTTCCAATTTGCACACAACTAAACCATTCAAAAACACACGTAAGTATATTTTTGCATTTACATTGCAACAAAACACAACCTCCTTAGTGGCTAATGCTCTTAGGAATGACACTTTGCAAAGGGTGTGGGGGTAAAAGAGTGATTGTCTTTAACCAATGGGTTCACATGTCATGTAAAAGAAGGGTCTCGATGGCCTAGGCTGTTAGCCCCCAACAACCGAAATTTTTTCAAAACTTTGGCTACTTGGATGAGGCTTATTTGAGAGAGTTGGAGCCTCTAGGCCTAAGGATTAAGTAATGGGTCAGGTTAGGTATGAATGTGGGCATTGAGCAGTAGTTTATTGTTAAAACATTCTATAGAAGGAGATCAGACTCAGTTCTCACAAGATCCTACTCACAACGTTTTCACAACTTTTTACAGCTGTGCATTGGGAATTGCTCATTTTCCCAATACGGATGAAACATGATCTTTTGTGTAGATTTCAGTTGCTCATTTCAAGGGAGTTCAGTTATTAAACAATTATTAAGTACAAATCGATGAATTTGAAAAATATTTAAAAATAAATAAAAGGAGCAGAAAGAAAATTGAAAATACACAGGTCAAAGGACGATTTTCATATTGGTCAGACATTAATAAGGAATTCAATTCATATATCAACGCCCTAAGTAGCATGACCCAGTTGTATATTGAGAATATCTCCCTATCACAAGTGCAAGAGATGTTCTCAATGCATGCTGAGATGTGCATGTGAGATGCCAATCTGATATTATTAATAAGAGGATGAAGATGAGGTGGTGTTATTTGTGACTTTAACATTATTTCAAACTTGAACCGCCTGAAATAAAGTTTCTTTATCAAATTATAAATTTGTTTATGGAAGAGCTAGAAATAGAAGCTCTGTTTGGAAGGAATATAAATACAAATTTGTAAAGTACAAAATATTATATTTTTTTATGTAAGCTCTTTTTGTATGTATTTATATTGTACTCCTTCCAAACTGATCCAAAAGGACAAATTTTATTCAATGAATATTCAAAAAAAATAAGACTAATTTGCACTTTTACTAAAATATAGATATAGATATAGTGTTTGTCTTATAGATTTATAATATAAAAATATAAATACTATATATACGGGTCAATTTGAATGGACGGGTTTGAATGTTTGTTTAACTAGATTTTTCTGTTTGTTTCATCAATTCGGTTCAACCTTTTAGTTTTTCGTTTTTCCATTGCAGTTATCTGACTTAGTTCACTAAATTAATCGTAATTATTATTTTACCTCACAGGTCACAGCCACGCTAACGTTTTATCACTTTATGCATATGAAGCTTTAAAATAACGCCAAGTTTTCTCCTCTGACTGGGTTGGCCAGATGCCATTTGGCTGTCTAAATTTGACAGCCTGGGCTATCGAACGTGGATAACCGGAGTTTGTCTCCCAAAACAGCCTGGACTGGTCTTTCCCCCTTCCCGACAGCCAAGCCAGCTAAGTAATTATTAATGAGCAAACCTCCAAAGCCACTGAAGAGAGAAAGTCAGAGAGGGAGGGGCGTTAAGTGTCACCGATCTCGTGTTTGAGATTTCGTATTTTCGTTCTCCACCTCTCGTCTGCGGTTGAGGACTTCTGTAAGGCTCCTGGTGGCGGTGAGATGGCGACCAGGACCGAGATGTTCTGTGAAATCCTGATAGCGATCTTGCTTCCCCCGTTGGGTGTCTTCCTCCGACATGGTTGTTGCAGTGTAAGCTCCATAGTCCTTTCCCTCTCTCTCTGCATGTTTACTTCTAAAAGAATTGTTATTGATTTTTCAAAATGATTGCTGATTTCCCATTGTTGTTGCTGCAGGTAGAGTTCTGCATCTGCTTGCTCTTGACCATGTTAGGTTATATACCAGGTATAATATACGCCATCTATGCGATCGTTGTGGTGGATCACGATAGGTACAGAGCTGATTATTGGGAACCCATCAACTAACTCACCCCCCTTTTCTTTCTATGTCTCATTTCTCTTCTTGCTGTTTTCACTGTAATGTATTTCAGACTCTCTATTGCTCTTTCTTAATTAAAATACATGTATCGTTTTATTTCAGTATATTTCTTGTTTTAGCCCCAATTTCCAAATTAAGAGAAATAACAACTATGATCAACAATGATTTTTTATTCTTAGATTTATTTTTGTTTTGACCATCTCTGGTTTTGAGGAATTTGGTTTTACTTGTATTGGAGTTGTAGAATTCATTTTCGAATCCACTGTACAATTTAGATACATGGGTTAATGGTTGATTCAGTGGTGGGATTGTTTTTACATTAGTCAGTTAGGTGGGTTTTCTCGCTTACCAGATCCTAGATATATACAGATCAATGAATCATTGTATGAGAATCAATGGTTAACCAGCAATTCATATCTAGGGAAATTCCTATTTCTAATAATCTATTATAAGGTAACGAAGGTCCGATAGTCGAGGTGTCCCATTATTACAATACCATCCTAAGAAATAACTTTTGGACTTCCTCAGATAGTGTAGGACTTTTTGTTCTGTCAATTAATTTTGTTAATGTGTTCACTGGTTAATTGATTCTAGATGAGCCAAAGAGACTTGTTGGGAAGCAATTCATAGTCCTATTTAGGTTGTTCCTAAGAGAAAAAGAAGAATTATGTTTTCAAAATTTATTTATTTGAATAGAAGAGACTTCCTCACTTTTCCTCGGTGGGTGATACTCGGTGTTATGAGTGCCTAATGCAAGCTAGATAGAAATCTATCCATGCGATTTGGAAATGGATTCAAGGGCAAAAAGATTCTTTACTGGCGGTCTTCTGTTATTGTATGTTTTTGATTGCCTTTTACAATTGAGAAGATCTTGCAACTAGTTATTGCCCTAATTGTTTGACTGACTTATTGCAACTTCTCTTGTTAATTTTTGTTAACTTTAGCCCTTTAATCTGGTTAATGAGCCAAAGCAAGATACTTAACCAATATTTTTGTTAATTTTCCTATCTGTACTCATGCCCTACAATTCTTCTGCTCTAACTATAGACGGGCAAGCCTGTAATTGGATATGTGACATGAAGTTGGAAATTATAGAAGAAGCTGTTTTTGGTTATCCTTTTGCTACTGTTATGAAGTAGCTAGTGAACTGTTGGAAAAAGCAAATTCAATGCAATATTGCATGCAAGTAAAATCAACAATTGGGACAGGCAAGGGTTCTCTGGACAATGTCCAACTAGATGCACCTTGGGAAAATGCTGGGATGGTAAGCTGTAATTTCTATGTTTCACGTACACTTAGGGCTGAGGAAAGGACTTATTGCATTACTACTTGAGAAATATTACTTCGAGGAAGATTCTAGGGTCATTTTCCAGTGGAAAAATGATATCTGATCATTCTGTGGCTGAGAATGCTGACATTGAACCCACTTGATATTTCTCTATATTATCCTGATGCATTTATTGGTGGGGTAGTTTGAGATTGACATAAACAAAATTTTGGGCTGTTCAAACCATCTTTTTAATGCGCCAGGGTCTGAAAAAGATAGAAACTTGGGATTAATTTCAGGGCTCTTTTCACTGCTGTTACCACATATATAAAGAAGTTAAAAAAAAAAGAAAAGTTGTGGATGGCCTAAATGGTGTATAAAGTGAAGAAGGATGATCTATATCCTAAGCAAAAAGAAACTTACAGGATGCATTTTTCTTTGCAAGTCTTTTTCTGTTTAAAAAGAAAGTAAAGATTGTATTGATGTAAGTATAATCAGTCATATTACAACCTTCCAATGTACAAAGAGTTTCAAAAATATTGGGAGAAGGAACATCCCTGGACAATCCATTACCAAAGAGTCTCCTATAATGTTGATATTTGCTGCCATAATTCCTTTCTTTTTTCATTTTTGGCCAAAATTATTAGAGTTCCTTTCTAGCAAAACTGACCATGACTATAAGATGGCAAGGGGTAGATGGTAAAAACAAACAGAAATCCCACAAGAGTGAGTTCAACTAATCAAGGCAAGAAAGAAAGAGATTTCCTTTGTGAGCAAGAGAGATTTCCCATTACATTTACATCGTGAAGCTAATCAAGGCAAAAAGAAAAAAAAAAAGAAAAGAAAAAGAAAAGAAAAAGAAAGAAAGATCCATTTCCTTTGTGAGCACAAGAAATACTCGAAGAAAGGGCAATCTTGCTGTTGTTTGTCCTGCTTGTATGCCTGAAAACCACACTGTTGAAGAATTGTTTAACCGCTTGATGTGCCATTAACAGTGAAGAGATTCCGGTGTTTAATGTTGACACCATTGATAATGAAATGCCTCTAGAAAGTGATGGCATATTTTTACAGTAAAGCTACAATGAATGAAAATGTGGTTTGAGTTATTCACTTACTGATCAAAAGGAAAGAGCACATTGGATATCTATGACACCCTGAGACCAGCACATGTCTAGCATACTGGTGTCAGATATAAATCTAATACTTATAAGATGATATGATACTGAATACTGCTTAAGGAGAAAAGTTGAGTCTAGCCGCATAGAATGGGATTCACAGGAATTATCACAGTAACCCAATTTGAGCAGCCACTTCAGCCTACCATGTGTAAAAAGAATTACAGGTTTTTCTTCTCCATGGAATGAGGTTCTTACTTCTTAGATAGGTCTTTCGATAATGCCATTTATTTGTTCTGACTACTTATCGTATTATTTCACAATGGGCAAATTCTGGGGGTGGGGCTGTATGCTTGTGGTTCACTGTCCAAAAACCTTGATTTTAGCTTTTGATCCATATTTGGGAGGATGGACAAATCACATCTTACCAACTCTTAAAAAGCTCCAAGAATGATGCATAAATCTCATGGTTACAAGTTCTGTCCGTGGCTTCACGCTGAAATTTTATGTGACGTCTCTCTTCCGTCAGGCCTATGAAATAGTGACGATTCCTTATGCGCCCCAAGCACAAGACACTGATGGATTTCCTTTCCTTTTACTCATCCTTGAGATATACCAAAGAGCCCCTGCACAAAAAGATTCGTTGTAAAGGAGAAATCTCATGGAGAAGATAACAATCCAACTGTAACAGTATAAAGAAAACCATACAAAATGTTGATAATTTACAGTGAGGCTATGTTTGATTTGATAGAAAATAAGAAATAAAAAGTTGGAAAAAGTTATTTTAAGATTTGAAAGGGGTTTTCACAGCCTGGACTGCCAACAGGGCTCTCCCTGTATGACATGTCATATTAGTTCATGCAGATTCTTTTTTTAGGGTGTTAGGAATCATGGGCATTTATTCAATAAGATAGCTTCGGTTTCTGTGCATGCTTACCGTTTGGGGATATTATTTTTTAAAGCTTTTCCAATGGTTAAACGTTTTTTTTACTATTATACTGATGTTGTGCCTAGTGGCACCTAATTGTCATATAAGGTTGTAATTATTACCTTTATTGGTTTTGTAAGCAAATAAAATACAATGGATGTATTGCACGCAGGGTAAACTAATGTTTCACGCAGGCAAACAAGTTCTATCTATAAAGATTGTTTTTAGACAATTTGAAACTTAATACCAGCTTTTTCAAATTCCATAAAATTGTTTACCATTTCTGAAAGCCCAATTTCTAAGTTTTCAGAAACGAAAAAACAAATGCTTCTAGGACTTTCTGTTTGTATGATCCAAATTAGGGATTCTGTTTTCTGAAACAGAAATTGACAAGCTCATATATGGTTTCAATTTTCAAAAAAGGAGATACCCAAGGAAACAGAACATGTCTTCACTGTTTTCCAACCTAGCTGTGGCATGTGGGGTTTGATTTTCTGTAAAGCACAACTAAGAAAGTAGATTGCAGATTCTTGTAAGGGTTCATTTGGTTTGTGGTTGAAATCAGAATTGGAATTGGAGTGGTCTATTCCCATAGTCTATTTGTTTCAAATAAGAATGAGAATGAGAATTGGAATCAGCAGAAATGAAATTTCATTAGCCATTCCTTCAAATGGGGGAATGCCATTCCAATAGGAACGAGAATGAGTTCTGATTTCACCCAATCAAATAGTTGGAATCAGAATAGTTCATTCCATTTCCGATTCTAAACTCCTATTCCAGCGAACCAAACGGGGCCTAGGTTCTACTAATAACACTTGTATCCACTCTTCAAATCGTCAGTTCAGCTTGCTTAACACCACTCTTTGTAATTCTTCATAAGTTTTTGGCCATAAGCCACCTAATAGGTTGTCATATTGGGAACTAACCTCCCAACATCTGTATATTTTTAGGGGGTGTTCTTTTTTCGGATTTTGAGAAGGGGGAAAGTTGGTCAATGGGATTTTGGTTCCTACTGACCAAGAATATCATGTTCATTTTTCAGATTAATGTGGCTATTAGGGAAAGTTTATTTCTTGGGTATCACTTACCTAAGTGTGTAAATAACTTTTCCACGTAAGAAGAAAGTGGCTAACACTCGAACGAGACAATAATGCCCCTTTTAATAACGACTTTTTATGACTAAAATGGTCATTACCTTATTTATCTGAGAAATAAAAGAACATGGGTAAATTTTCCAAGAAAAACTTACCCAGGTAATTGCATTTACCCATGTAAATAACTTACCGAAAAATGAACAGGGCCTTAGATTGATTATTCCGACTTCTACCCAATCCCCCCAAAGGTCTTATGGCCTTTACCAGAAACTCTTTTCTTGAACCTGGTTTCCCATAGCTTAGCACTGTGTCAAGAAAAATTCATCTTTATCTACTTTATAGTTATCCTCCATTGATCATAATCTTTTCTGCATTGCTAATTTGCTCTGCAAAAGGCTATACATGTAAGATATATGAGTATAACATTACAAAGGGTAAAACGTATCTTCAGAAAAAAAGAAAAAAGAAAAACAATGGATAACCAATCATCCTTGAAAGCACCAGCAACTATAGGAGGACTGATACAGTGCCCTAGCCCATTGAATGAGAGTCCATTCAATTTGGAAAGCTACCTCCTCCTCAGAGGACCTTTTGTTCTGAAAAATCCTGCTCCCTCCAAACACTCCAAACAGCAAAAGGCAACTGGTCCCATAAGGTTTTCCCCTTAACAAAAAAAGCTGAAACCCTCCAAGAAGATAGTAAGCTTGCCATGTTTTGGGGGACCATCCATTGTCTATGAAAAAGCTTCAGAAAATGGGTCCAAATAGCAGGGGAGA